ATACTCACTTGTGACAAATGAGTTCAGAGTATCAGAGCTCCAACAAAAATATATCATCTATGTATTTAAATGGATAAATTAAGTTGCAGTCTTGCTATCTGAACGACACAGTTCATGTCACGGTCTTAAATGACAGTATAGCAACATAAATAATACTGTGCATATAGTCATGATAGTGCTTCTTTCCCATAATCAGAGTAAAAGGACATTGTCTTGTAAATCTAGAGAGGACGATTTTAATAAAACAAATGACCCACAAACTCTCTCCACCTCTCTATATTTGTAATACAGCATTTTGTAGCAGGACACCATGGAAGTGTGTGCTTGGCAAGGATACAGCATCTCATTATAAGACTCTAGAGTGCAAAACAGGTGGTTTCACATTTTTACAAAGTTAAAACGTCTCATGAGACCATTTGTAATTCTCTGAAACTTGAAACAGAGGCGGGAAAGAAATATTGGGGTTGTAACACTTTCCTCTCAAGATTAAAATGGTGAAGATATTTCAGTTGCACGCAATCTCACATTCGCTAGACATGCCAGGGAAAAAGCCTGGCTTAATATTTGTCAAAATGCTCTATATATAAGTCACAGAGCAGGATGCTACCACTCATATGGCTATATTTCTGTGGTATACATGAATAAATAAACATAAACAAAGCTATATTTATATAGGCTAAGATTATAAGATCTAGACAGCAACTCCACACATAAAAAGATCGCTATGTAGACTATCAAAACAGTTAAGATTCAACATTAGGTACTGAGATTTTTTAGATTCATAGTGACAAACAAAACAGAGAGGAATGGAAGGCTTTGTTTAGGAGTGTTTGTTCATTTAGGCTTGATTTGATTTAAAAGGTAAAGGCCATGTAGTGTGTGTGTATATATATATACATTTTAAAATACTTTCTTTTGATGCTCAGTCTTAGCTCTTTTTCTCCCGTTTAGTCAAACACGGGGAAATCAAAGGTTTTAAATATTATGAGTGAGTTTGTGTGGTCTGTGTGATGTGTTGGCTGAAGATGAGGGTTGTGAGAGTCAAATTAAGGCTGCACTTGGTCATTTATCTCGTTCCCTTCTTTTGCCTATTTTTCATAATTTCCTCTTTGACCCTCATTCCTGAAATGATACTTGTACACAAACACACACTTTCAAGGCTGTAGAATTAGCCAAGTTGATCCTCATACTGCTTCCTGAAACAGTCACCAGCTGGGAAGAAGTCCCAGCATCGCTCCTGGTACATTTTCCATACATATGACTCCTAGAAAGAGAGAAAAATAAAATAGTTTATTATTGAAATTTTAATATACAAACACTACTGTTCATATTTTGGGGTCAGAAAGATTTTGTTTGAAAGAAATTAATACTTAAGCAAGGACACCTTAAATTGATCAAAAGAGACATTAAGTACATTTATGTATATATGTATATATATATGATATATATATAATTGCCATTATGAGGTAATGATAAATGCAGTACATTTTCTGTTCAACAAAGAACCCTGAAAAAATTTAAATTTCCACAAATATAAAAATATATATATATATATCTTTTAACACTGAAATTATTAAGAAATATTTTTTGAGCACCAAACCAGCACATTAAAATGATTTCTGAAAGATCATTTGAAACCGAACACTGGAGTAATGACTGCTAAAAAATTCAGCTTTACCATTATAGGAATAGATTACATTTAAAAATATATTAAAATATACATATTTTTTATTTTAAACAGTTATGTTTAAAATGCATTATTTCACAATATTACTGTTTTGACTGTATTTTGATCAAATAAATGCAGCCTTGGTGAGCATAAACAATCTTACTGACCCAAACCTTTGAACATTAGTGTATATATATTTATAATGTATACCCTCTTATATGCAAAGTAAACTCTTAGTTAAGTTTTTTATTTAATTTAATTTTTATTTGGTTCAGAAAGACAATTTTGGACAGAGTTAAGAATAAAACAACACTGACTTGTCCTGTGTGTTCTGTTTCGTCTTTATTGATTAAATACATCAGGAAGAACCTACATGACAGAAAAAAAAACATGATTTCAAAATGAGGAAACAAAATATTAGCTCTCACCATTTCTGAATAAACAAAAGTATTACACTTACATGTAATTGGCTAAATTGTGCTCCTCCATCGTGTGCGTCTCGAAGCCATGCGGAGTCGAGTCAAAGTTGTCGCTTCCAATTCCACAGATGAAACATTTAGTCTTTGAAATAAACAACAACAAAAAACACCTTAATTTTTCAGAATGTGTCAGACTGCAATCCATACTAACAAAAGTATGCACTGCACTCTCAGCAATTGCCACAAGGGGCGCTATGGCACACATTAGCAAAAAACATCTTCTACAGTCAATTTTCTCTTTCAGGTCAACCACTGCCACAGCGAAGCAACAACTTGTAGAAAATCTCTAGAAAGCGAGGTAAAGTTGATCTCTGCGTATGAACATGCCTACTTCCCTACTATATAGTAGGTGAAAAATTGTACGTGAAATGAGAAGTATGTCCAAATTCATAGTATTCATAAAATAACAGCCGAAAAGTACCTGGATGACCTACTACTTCTGCCAAGATTCTGAAGTACACATCATTTTGATCATAGAGACTATGATCATTGACCAATCATAGTTTGTTTTGTTTCTATGTTCCGTTTAGGGGTGGGCCTCCAATGCAAAAGTTTCACATGTAGATTTTGTATATTAAAGTATAGTGTATTTATAGTATTAAAGCAATAGCAATAATATGGATAATGGACTCATATTTTGGCTCAAAGCGACTGTTTTAATGTTAAAACGGCTTAATGATGGATTTTTTTCGTACAGCTTTTTGCTTCACAAGATGTTAATTGATGGACTGGAGTCATGTGGATTACTTGTGAATTATTGTGGTGTTTTTATCAGCTGTTTGGATATTTTAACAGCACCCATTCACTGCAGATGATCCATTGGCAGGCAAATGCTAAATGCTAAATTTCTCCAAATCTGTTCCAATGAATAAACAAACTCATCCATATCTTGGATTGCCTTTTCATTTTTGGGTGAAATATTTCGTCAAGCATAAAACTGGCAGTTGTACCTCCATGTCCTCTCGGACCTGCTCCTGCTGATCTCTCAGCTCACCGAAGGCATCAATGATCAGACCTGCATACAACACAAACATCATTTCATAATGACAGATATTATTATGTCCAAACCTTTTAAATATTACATTTACAGAGTAGAAAAATTCACACAGGGTCTAAAAAAAACATATTCTTCACCTTGAATGATAGCCAGCAGGATGACAATGACAAAAAAGAAGAAGGTGATGTCAAAGACCACACGATAAAGTTTATACTCGTCTCCGGCCGCATCCTCGATCTCGTCTCCTATACCACCACCAGCTCGCACACCCACGTACATATGGAACAGATAACACTGAGAGAGAAGACTTGATCACAGTCAGGTGTGAAATGAGAAAGTGTAATTCAACCAAATGTAGATATTTGTGTATGAACTCTTACAGTCATCATGTCGTCACACTTCATATCCGGTTCGTCTTCATCCTCACTCATGTTGTAGAACTTTCGGAAGAAATTGAAGGCCACCACGGTGTAGAGGTAGACCACCACAGCCAGCAGACCCACCGTCATCAGCAGCTAAACAACAATCGCCATCAAGATTAATATCTGGAAGAGATTTCTATAAAATCTCAGTCAAATATAATGATTTCTGAGAGCTGTACCTGTTTGCCATTGTGGGTTACAGAAGACAGGATGGTGCGCAGGGTTTTGACACCCATAGCAATGTCCAACAGATGACAGGCGAAGAAGAAGTTGTTGTAGTGGCCAAGCAGTGACATGACCAGATACCAAACCAGATACAGGAACGTCTTCGAGCAAAACAGAATCCAAATGATTCATTGTTATAAATTTCCTCAACTTACTGAAACAAAGTGATGTCTTTACTGAAACTCACATTATCAGTGAACACCACTCCAAATTTCCAGATCTGGTATTTCATGTCAATAGATGTCAACCTGTGGATTCATTAATTGTTATAATGAGAAACAGAATTTCCATTCTATTATAACATCATATTTAAGAGCAGTGATGTCTGAATCTCAAACAAATGACTTCTCATGAACAGGTTAACTTTAGTGAATAAAAAAAAAAAAAAAAAAAATCAGCTTCACCAGAG